GTTGACTTTCAGCACACTCTCAATGCTACTGTACAGCACCTGGATCTTGGCTATAAAACCAGCGCTGAACCCGAACCCCTCCATGGTTTCCCAGAGGAAGCTGTGCTCAACGCAGTCGAAAGCCTTTTCTTGGTCAAGTGAGACCAACGCTGTGTTCAGACCCAATGAACTGGAGACTTCCAAAACATCTCGAATCAGGTAGATATTATCTACCATGGACCTGCTGGGGATGCAATAAGTCTGGTCTCGATGGATGACCTGTTCCATTGCTTCTCTCATCCTGGTTGCCAGGACCTTGGAGAGGATTTTGTAGTCGGTGCAGAGAAGGGACACCGGGCACCAATTCTTCATCTCCTGCAGGTTCCCTTTTTTGGGCAGGAGGGTGACGACCGCTCTGCGGCACGACAGCGGGAGCAAACCAGTAGTCAGGCTTTCACTGAAGACATGTAGCAGGTCCTCTGCCAAGATGTCTCAGTAGGCCTTATAGAACTCCACAGTGAGTCCGTCAACGCCAGGAGCTTTCTGGCCTTGCATGCTCTGGAGGGCTGTGTGGAGCTCCTGAAGACCCAGGGGGTGCTCCAGGTCAGCGTTGGTCTCCTCAGAGACCTGGAGTAGTCCACTGCAGAACTCCCTAAACAGCTCGTCGTTCCTCTTGTATTCACTTTTGAATAACGAGGAGTAAAACTCCACAGCCCTCCTCCTGATCTGGCTTGGCTCACTCAGCTGCTGCCCGGTGTCCGACAACAGAGAGTGGATGAGTTTTCTCTGCCCGTGTTTCCTATCCAGGCTGAAGAAGAAGCTGGAAGGAGCATCCATCTCTGTGATGTTATGTATCCTGGACCTGACCAACGTACCTTGGACTTTTGCGTCCAGCAGGTTTGTTAAAACTAACCTTTTATATATCAGGGCTTCAATGTGCTCTCGATTTCCTGTGGTTTCACTGAGGTGCTCTAGTTCCACTATATCAGTCTCCAGATCTTTGATAGATCTTGTGATGTTGCGAGTAACGTTGAGAGTGTGTTGTTGACACGGCTGTTTTATTTGAACTTTCCCGTGGTCCCACCGCTGTTGCAGACATGTAAAATCACCCTTCCTCTGTCTAAAAACCTTCATAAAATAACTCAGAATCTCCTTTAAACTACGGTCATAAGTTAAAACTGAGTTAAAATGCCAGTAGGCACTCTTAGGTAAAATGTTTCTGATATAAACACTACCTAAAACCAGCGAATGATCCGTAAAAGCTACTGGTAAAATTCGACAGGCCTTAAACACGTTAAAATGATGTTTAAAACAATAAAACCGGTCAAGGCGAGCCAAAGAAATGCGATTCTCCTTACAGTGGGACCACGTGTACTGTCTGGAGCCTGCGTGCATCCTGCTCCATACATCCACCAGGCCATGAGACGAGACCAGCTGCCGCAGAGCGCGCTGGGCTGCTGGATGAGGCTCTGCATGATTGCGGTCTAAAGACTCGTTTTCAGTACAATTAAAATCCCCTCCTATAAAAACATAATCCTCAGACCCACAATCTCCCAACCTTTCCCCAATTTTTTCTAAAAAACGTTTCTCTGCATTGGCAGTGGGAGCATAAATATTAATAAAAATTACATTAAAATGTTCAAACCCAGCTTTGACTAAGAAACACCTTCCCTGAACAATGTGTTGCACCTCTATGTGGCTGGGAGTGAAAGCTTTAGAAAAAAGGAGTCCCACTCCCGCACTCTGGGATGTGCCATGGCTAAAAATGGCCTCCCCTTCCCACTCCCTGCGCCACTCTGTCTCATTGAATGGATCACTGTGTGCCTCTTATAAAAATAGAATTTCTATTTTTTTTATAGTTTATGGTTTGGTAAACCAGTTCACGTTTCACAGCCTCTCTGGCCCCGTTGAGGTTTAATGATGCTATTTTAAAAGCATCCATGGTGAAAGGTTAAGAAGCGTGTACAAAAAGACTAAAAAAAATGTTAAAATGCAGGTGTTCATCATTTGTTCAGAATTGTTTCCTAACTTTGCTCATTATTTTCTTTAGTCTAAAGATTTTTTGATCGGTAAAACCCTGACTCTTCTTTGTGTCTGATGTGATGTCTGGCTGAGAAATAAAACGTTCTCAGGTTAGGAAAATAACTTTCAACTTTAACTCCTCTCAGTCCTTTGGTTTGCTTGAGGAAGGACAGGAAGGTTTCTACAGGGTTCAGTGCTGTCAGCCTGTGAGACAGAGGCTTCACTA